TTTTTTGTTTTTCTCTTGCATGTTCGAAATAAAGAATAAAAAACAACAACATGAAATTAGAAAGTAATGTTCGTCGACCAAAGACAGAAATATTGAGAGAATGTACCACAATATATAAGCAGACCAGTATTACATACATGCAATGACAGCGTCTTACCGCACTCTTTTTTAGGTTCATCAGAGCGATCCTTGCAGTCCTTCACAGAGTCGCAGACCTTGGAGCTGTCGATACACTCTCCATTTTTACACTGAAACTTCAGGGGTCCTTCGCATTTAGTGGCTGCAACAGAACAAGTAAAGAACAGCATCTGTAAGTCTGACATAAAAACATAGATTTTTTGTGTGAAAGCTCGAGTTTGACATAGAAAAGGTCAACTTTTAGAATATAATTAATTGATTAATTGGTTTATCTAATGCTGAATAACTATCAGTTGACTAATGATTCATAGATAAGCTTCTATTTTGACTTAAACCTGCATTATCTCTATCATCAAAAGGATCCTTCCATAACATTAGGGATTACTTTTTTCTAGAGAAATGCTTAATATATATAAAAAAGGGAAAAGCTGTGTAAGCTGTATTAAATACTTATATATCTATAATAGATGAATATATATTATTAAAGTGATAAATTAAATGTAAAGAAAAACAAGAACAGATTAGTTTAATTGAAAAAAAAGTAATAGACAAAATAATATGAGAGTTTGAAGGTTGAAACATTTAAGCAGATTAATTAAATATTAAAATAATCAACAACTTTTTTGATAATGGAGTTGAAAGCTAATGTAATACCACACAGCCTCTAAAACATTCTCTCTACTAAAAGAATATCCTTTTATAATAACAGTTTATTCACAATGGTTTGTACTCTTCGCACTTTAATAACCTCGATGTTTGCTGGAATTACTTTTAGCTGTAAACTGTCCATTAAAATAGGAGCAAATTATAATAAACACCTCAGCTAATCCTGCCTTATGTCTAACTGACGTCAGCTTCACATTTTCACAGATTTATATGGAATAATTTAACCAAATAACCAAAACAACTGATGTTTTTTCCATTTGTTTGGGCTGCATTTGTTTTAGATGATGATGTCCGTGATGAGAAAAAGAGCAGTGAACCTGAGCGTTTGATGACAGAGCTGAAAGCGACAGATCGGATGTTTCCGCCTACTCAAGGTAACTCCTGGCTCTTATTGGCACCAGGGACCCGGCAGCACAGTCTGCTTTTACTGTGCTATAAAACACATGAGTCTCACCTGGTGATCTCTCAAGCTGCAGGTGAGGAATGGGAGTAATTTCACTAGTAATATTTTACCTTTAGTTGCATAGAAAGAGATAAAAATACAGTTGACAGTAGGGAATGAACTGTTTATGATTCGAGTGTGTTGCGTTCGGTTCATGCGCTGCTCCTTTTTCTCATAGGCGAAGCGTTTACACTCCAGAGCAGAAGGTGGCGGTACTGCGACCAAAGCCAAGCACCAGTAGTAAACAAGAAGAAGAAGAAGCGAAGCAGCGTAGCTGGGAGTAGCAGAAAAAAGAAAATCAGTTGTTGTGGAGAATTGTGTGGGTATGGCGAGTGGGAAAGAACAGGAGTTGGAAGACGCGCCAGCAGCACTTTATAGGTCTGCTGTATGGGACCACTTTGCATTTAGAGTGACCTACGATGACGGCGGAATGAAAGTTGTGGATAAAAGTGCAACAGTGTGCAAGCATTGTGCAACACGTTTTGTTTATGCTAACAGCAACACGACCAACATGTCAGGCTAACAATCAATATATACCGAACTGAACCGAAAACTGTGACCACGAAACCGTGAACCGAACCGTGGATTTTGTGAACCGTTCCACCCCTAGTTGACAGTAACAAAATCATTAGTGTAATCAGTTTTTCATCTTCTTTGTTTTCATTGCAGTATATAGACTTGCCCAAATGTTGTCCTCAATCTTTGTGACTCAATCTTTCTCTTCCTTTTCCTTTCCTTTTTATGTTGAATCCTCCCCGTCATAAACCTCCAAAATTAAAAAATCGTTCTGAAGCATAGGGCATGAGGAAACTGATGGCAATGGCCTTATATTGGGCAGCCGTAAAGAAGAAGGTATACTAATGTAGACAATGATATCAGTAAAACTTCAAGTATATATTGCCCAACTCAAGGTCTTTACTATTTTCTCTTCCATAAAATTTAACTATATAGTCTACATCTGCTTTAGCATCCACATGTTAGGTAGAAACATGTTCCATCCATTTTCTGTAAAGCTTATCCCTGCTGGGGATAAGGGGTGCTTGTGCCTATTTCTAGCTGTCAATGGGCGAGAGGCGGGGTTCACCCTGGACAGGTCACCAGTAGAGACTGACATTTTTTCGGGAATCCCACGGGTCACGGGATTCCCGTGGGATGGGAGTCAGTATTAGTAACGATCACGTGATTGGGACGGTACAGGATTAAACCTTAACGGGAGAAGACGGGAGCGGGAGCAAACCACCAATAATAACAAAAAAAACTAGGATCGATGCCAAAAAATAAAATAAAATAGAAAGAAAAAAATTCCAGTACTGGCGCCACAATTTTGTAGTTTTTTTCCTTGAAGCCTTACACTATAATGCGAGTCAAAAAAACTACAAGACCCAAAAACCAACAGTGCTTCCGCTCTGAGTTTTTCACCCGCGCTCAAAAAAAAAAAAAAACAAGAATGGGAGTGGTGGAGCAGCGGGAGTCATTCTGAGCAGCCCGTAGAGTTGCATAAAGAAAATCAAACAGCATCTACTTTATTTTTTCCATAGTCTATAGTGGTTCTATGTGTTTCTCATGTAAGCAATACTGAAACATCAACCATAACCATCCACATGATGTTTAATAAATTATTATAGCAGCCCAGGTAACAATCTTCCATCACTCTGATGCCAGCATACCTATTTTGGAAGCTTTCTGCTGTGTTGACAATAATGTTATGTCAGATCAGTGAACTTCTTCCATTTTCACACCATTGTCAAAATCAGCACCAGAAAAAAAAAAATCTAAAATAAATATCAAATTTCGAATATAAGAAAGAAATAAAAGCTTAGATGAAGAACAAAGGAGATGTTAGAGTCTGAAACCCACCGTTGACGCAGCCAGACTCATCACTGTGGTCAGGACAGTCATGCACCTTGTTACACTGCTTGGTGCCGTGGATACATGAACCATCACCGCACTGAAACTCATCAGGTCGACATGTCAGCAGAGCTGTAGGAGGGACAGAAACAGGAACAACAATAAATTAAAAAGAACAACAAAAAGTAGGGCTCATGGCTAAAATTCTAAGACATTTCCAACATTTTACTGATTTATTATTTTTAATTTCTTTTTGCGTATAATATATTGCAAATATTCTACTTTGGAAAAAAAAATCGACAGAGAGCATCCATAATATCAGCAAAATCTTATAATTATATACTTTAGATGTGCTCAGAGTTTGGTAAAGCCCAGAAACTGTCAACCTGTGGTGTGCTATACATAAATCTTAATGCAATAATAAGAGAGGGAGGCAACACCAAAGATTCATTATTATCCAAAGAGTAGAGAAGCTTTATATCAACAGAACTCCCCTCTGAACCTCATTAATAGGCAATATACAGAACTCATGGGATGAGATTTAGTGTTCTCATCAGATAAGATAAGAACAGGACAGGAGAACATAATGGAGACCGGCCAGCCGACGCCTGAACATGGATGTGCTCAGCATTTCCCCTCTTGTGCTCTGGTGCTCTATCAATATTAGGGTGGAGATCTGCAAGTAAATGATGCTCGTGGAGATCCAGGAAAAATAAGACAAGTAATAAATTGGAAAGATATTGATCAGTGTCTCTAAAAAAAAAAGCAATTTTTTGTAGTGAACCATGTAAAAATGATCTTTTTACGACAAAAAAAAATCTATAGACAGAGGTTAGTTAGTATGTAAAAAAAAACAAGCTTATTCTCTTGTAAACACTGCCTAGGTGACACGCCACACTGTGACATTTATCCAACATATTGGCTTCACTTCTTGATAATGAAACTCTGGCTTAGTGAGCAATATTCTATAATCTATTACATGTCACAACCCTTTAAAAGACCAAAAGTTAATTCTAAAATGACCTTTAAGTTAGATTACACATATTCAGATTAAAAAAACTGTTTAAACTGAACTTAAACTGGATGAAATACATGCAAAGTTATATATTTTGCAATTGAATATTAATATGATAAACACAAAGTTTTATGTTAATATATTATAAGATTATGTTTAACAAATATATGTTTTATAAAGTATATTATAAATAAAATATTCAGTGTTTTTAAAGATAGCTCTTTGATAATGAGTATTATGAGCTATGGAGGAAACTTACTTGTATTGTGATTTACAAAAGAGAGTAAAGTTATTTTGTTTTTAAATTAATTTTATGTAAATTTTTATGTTTTTATGTATTTGTGTTGTGGCTTTTGTAATCGTGTTGCAGCTTTTATATGTGTGTTTGCGGCTTTTGTATTTGTGTTGCGGCTTTTATATTTGTGTTGCGGCTTTTTTAATTGTGTTGCGGCTTTTGTATTTATGTTGTGGCTTTTGTATTTGTGTTGCGGCTGTTGTATTTGTGCTGTGGCTTTTGTATTTGTGTTGCAGCTTTTGTATTTGTGTTGCAGCTGTTGTATTTGTGTTGTGGCTTTTGTAATTGTGTTGTGGCTTTTGTATTTGTGTTGCGGCTTTTGTAATCGTGTTGCGGCTTTTGTAATTGTGTTGCGGCTTTTGTAATTGTGTTGCGGCTTTTGTATTTATGTTGTGGCTTTTGTATTTGTGTTGCATCTTTTGTGTTTATGTTGCAGCCTTTTTATTTGCGTTGCAGCTTTTGTGTTTATGTTGCAGCTTTTGTATTTGCGTTGCAGCTTTTGTATTAGTGTTGATACCTCTGGGCCACCGTATTATATCCTATTAATGAAGAAATAATTCAGTCAATCCAATAAGTCCATAGCCCCCATTATGGCTATTATTCTTGACTGAGCATGCCCTGCCAATAAATTACTTGTTTTGGTTCTGCCAGTGTGTGTGCGTGAAAACGCGTGACACCACAGCCTCCAGTTAACTGAACTGCTGTTAATCAAATCTGTCTGTGTGTGCAGCTGCATAAATAGCAGATGTAACCTAACGAGCGACAGTAACTGCAGAATCTCTCTCTCTCTCTCTCTCTCTCCTTCAGAAGCTGTTTGTAGAAAACCCTGCAAGTGTTGGGCTGCAGCTTCCTTAAACACTTACTGAGAAAAGGGCTCTCTGCTCCGCAAAATGTCTTTCCTGCAGTGTTGGTAAAAGCTGCTGCAGAGTTTGTACAGTTTCTGTTGTGTAAGTGGATTCTAATGATCCCACTTTTTCCTCACTGTTGGTTTAGACTCACTCTGGTAACTTTGTGTCCAACAAACTCTGCAGGAAATGGTAAATAATTAATGTAAGGAGAAGAAGTCTTAATCAAAGATGTTCTAAATGGGCTTTAAGGATTATTAAAATCTTATAACCACGTGAACAAACTCTCACAGTGTACACACCTTTTTTTTTTATAAATAATTTGGATATCTTGGACGATTCAAGTAAAAGACCAAAATACTTAAAAAAAAAAAAAAAAACACATTGGATAAATGTGCACTCTCCTAAGGTCTCATTGTTGTTCCCAACTCAGCAACCTCTAATGCAATTTTTATCCCCGTTACACTGGCTACAGGGTGTAAAGAGAGGCCTCTACACGGTGTGCAAACCCCAATTTATGCAGGACTGGGCCAGATTACTCATCTCACTCCTGGTGTCCCGAGAATTAAAGCAACGTCCTGTCAATTCTTCTTGTAATCCACCAGCAGGGCTGACCACTTGGCTTTTTTATAAGAAGCACAAGAGCTCTCAAATGAAAAAAATGTAGGAGCATTTAGGGGCACTATGAACGTTCTTAAAAAGGACCATTGAAAAAACAAAAAAACAAAAACAAATACACCTGTGCCATAATTTGTGTTTTGTCAGGCTGTCTTGTCTCTAGGCGGAAATTCAACTGAAGAAACTCCTTGTTTTTTCATACATCCACCTGCTTCACAGCCAATCAGCTTTGAACCACACCTCCGCGAAAGCCAATGGGCATCCAAAGCTCATCTTAAAAGGCATCCGATTCGCACCTGTCTGCTACTGTGACTTCATTCAGATGACTTCGTTTCAACCCACCTCCAGCCCCTCCTCCACCTTCGTAGCTAAAGCTTCATCAGTGTCATTCCTCCTGGACTCATCTCAACTGGTCAGGCAGAAGACCGCTATATTGAACCTGGTTCTGACAGAGGTTTCTTCCCAACGGGGAGTTTTTCCTCTCCACTGTCGCTTCATGCTTGCTCATCATGCACAGGTTCTCTCAACCTGTGTTATCCAACTGTACTTCCATCTTCCAGGTCCCTGAGCGAAGCTCTAGTATCAGCTCACGCAGTCCACTGGATCTCCCCATAAAGCTCAGCAGACCGTCTCACTAACCAGCAGTCTACAGACTGACCAACTTCATCTATCTCCACTCCACCACTAGTTTCAGGGCTGGGGGGAAACAGCCCTATTCTTTACTCCTGTTCATGCATATCTCTCAAAATTAAGCGCCATGTTTCCCGCCGAGGTCTGAGTGCCAAAGACAAAGTAATTGTATCAATAAATTTCTCCTAATTGTCTTTTCTCTTTGTGTGAGTTTTTCAGATTGAAAAGGGGGTTTCCAGTCACTAATGCTGAATTACCTGCCTGCTTCGGTCCTTTGCATTATGTGCATATAAACATTCTCTTTCTGTTCTGGTTTGAGATGCTGCACAGACTCGTTAAGTGAGGCTTTGCTTTATAGCTGTGGCTGTATTTTATTTATTTATTTATTATTAACAACTTTTTATAATGTGTCCCAATAATATGTGGGAAATTGATTTATGTGCCACAGAGACAGAAGTAAAAAAAAACTACCACAGATCTGCTGACTCTGCTACTGCCTGAAAAGTTTTACTAAACAAAATTTCGTTTTGTATAAACACTGGGTATACAAAAGGACAATGAGAGTTGTCTAAGTCATAGGCTCTCTATACGCAATCAGTGCGACATGGGAAAAAATCAGATGGGAGATCAAAAAGTCGTATGCAAGCAGTGTGTTCAGGCCTTTATGCTTCATACTGGCTAGGATATTACAATAGTCCCCCAGCCCAATTTAATTTAAAGCCTTTAAATCGATCAAAAAGTATAAAGAAATTCCAAAGATTGCAAAATAAAGTATGATTCGATTGATTAACTTAACTGATTGATTGATTGATTTTATCAATCTCACAGTGGAGCAATTTACTGGAAAGGGGCTAGGTAGTGTAACCTGGTGTAACCTCCAGATCTGTTTGAATCGTATCATTTGAGTCACATAAAAGAATCATTCAACTCTTAAAGAAATCTAAAATCTTGATCCCAGATAATAAATAATTGATGGTATGAACACTTGCTTGAGAATCATTTAAATGACGTCCCTAATGCAGGGGTTTGCAAATCTTTCTGCCTGAGTTAGAAAAACATTATTGGAGGAAATATCTGGCCTCTGTTTTGCTCATTATGCATTAAAACAGCAGGTAACTGTCCTCATATCTGCTTCTGTTCCTCTTCTCTCTGTCTGCTCTCAGCGTGTATACAGCGTCAAACAGTGACACGCCATCATGTTTGTCCATACAGGTCCAGGCGACGCTTCACATGAGAAAACATGTTTTTCTCCAAAAACACCACAGAACTAAAATTCTCTCATCATTTCTCAAGAGAAATATTTTTTTAAATAGCAGAGAAACAAGTACTAGTTGCGGTGGTTTACTCACCAGATGGTCTGAGTTTTAAATATCATTATCTTCTACATAAACACTTCAATTAAACTTATTTATTTTGCTGAACACAACAAAAACACTGTTTAGAAGCTGCTGGTATTTAAAAATGGAAACTTCTCAGAACAGAGGGAGACACTCACGGCAATCAGACTCATCCGACTTGTCCTTACAGTCTGGATCTCCGTCACACTTCCACGTCAGGCGAATGCACTCCCCGTTAGCGCAGCGAAACTCCTCAGCAGTGCAGTTGGCTCTGCGGTTAGGCAGGTAGGGGGCGCCGTCTCCACCGCAGTGTTCCGGGTTTTCGTCCGAACCGTCGGAGCAGTCGGGGTCTCCGTCGCAGCTCCACATTAGAGGTACGCATTCCGAAGAGTTACAGCGGAAGTGGTTGGGCCCGCAGGTCTGCGGGGAGGAGCACTTCAGCTCGTCGCTGCCGTCTCCGCAGTCGTCATCACCGTCACACACGTAGACGGCGGCCAGGCATTTACGGTTGGCGCACATGAACTCTGTGCTGGGGCACGCTTTGGCATCTGAGGTCAAAAACAACAAAAAGGAGAAAAGAGCAAAAGTAAGATGCTGTATTTATACAATGCTGTTTTTTTTTTATCGGAAGTTCTTGATTTTCATTACAAATTAGAGCAGAACTTTGTTCATTTATGTTAAAACTTTCCCTCACTTATGTCAAAAGTAAAGTTTTAGGAAACTAAAGGGATGAGTGCACAAAAGAAAAGAGCTGTAAATTATTTTAAAGCAGCAGGTCAGAGGTACAGAAACAGCTTTTCTAGGCAACATATCAGACCAAAAAAAGAACAAGGTGAGAAGGTGAGAGCAGCAGCAATAGCTTGAAAATGGACAGAGGTTTCCTTTCTTCTTTAAAGAAGTGAATAATAATAGACCTTCTCCTCTTAAAATGAATCTGCAGCATGGTAGAGTTTACAAACTGAATATTGTCAAATTCTTTTTAGAGCAATCAGAAGCAATGATATATTTCTGATGCTCTGGAACCACCAGAAGCATTGGTACAATGTAATTTAGATATAATGTTTGAATCCAGAAAGCAATGGCATTTTAGGAAATAAAGCTTGAGTTTATTAATGATGCAGTATGTTTTGTTTGAGGAAAAAGCTTCTGGAACATTTATTAAGAACCTCAACATCACATCAACTATGTTTCTTTGTGCCATAAGAATCTGAATCAGATTTACTGGCTGACTGTGCTCAAAATAAAGGATTATGAATTTAGTTATATGCGCTTAGATTACAGACAAAAGACAAAGTGACAGATTTTTTTATTCTATTGTCATTGTCACAAGTAGAGAAATGAAATTAACTCTCTGCATTTAACCTAGGGATGCACGATATAATCGGCCCCCTATCGGTATCGGCCTTAAAACTGAATATCGG